TGGGTTTTTCACTGGCCGATGCCGATATTTAGAAATCAGGGCAGCCGATGGCCGATATATGATGCCAATTTTTTTGGCCGATATGTTTGGCCGATTTTCTTTCTTTTTTTTTTCCTTCATCTCATAAAAGTGAGTTTGAGTAAATGATTATTGCAGGGGACAAGATAGTAATAGTAGTAGTAGCCTCATTCAGAGTAATAATACATGGCTCAAAACTTAAGCACCTTCTCAAAACAGTTCTGAAGCATGCTTTTTGTTTGTTTGCTGACAGACACCAGTGTTTCCCACAGACTGCAAATTAATTCTCTGCCAGCAGGAGGCGCTTTGGGGGCTGGAGATATAGCAGTTTCCCCGGTAACGGCTGTAATCAAATAAGCACTGTGCTCACAGTCACAAACGCTACGTTATCAGGCATTACAGGAAAGATGAAATGAAAGTGACATCGAAGCTTTTCTGAAGACAGTCGGTTCTTTTCAAAGATACATTCATATAAAATACACATTTCTGGCGGGGTTCCTCTGGTAAAATTCGCACGCCAGGGGCTAAATATCACGTTATCGGGGTCGCTTTAACCCGCGGACATGAAAAACAACCCGCGGCAACAGTGATGAAGCAGCCCAATTCCGTGGGAAAACCGCGGCCTTGGCAACACTGCTGCTCCGTCTCACGCAGCCAGAGGGAGTTCCGCAACGACGCTTAGCTGCCCGCTGGTGCGCCTGCCTATAAATCAGCCTAATTTGCAGCACAATCGGCCGATGCCGATTAATTTAAAAAATGCCAAAAATCGTCCGATTAATCGGTCGACCTCTAATCACTAGATTAAAGTTAGTCGATCGCGCGTCTCCAGTCAAGCTGAACTCTCCTCCTGTCAGCATTCAGTTCACACGGACCGACCGTCACGCAGAGCACACGCGATCATGCAGGATACACATGCACACTTCACAAGATCTCAACTGGATTCGACTAAGTTTGCAAGGTTTGTGAAATTAAATGTTCATTAGTCATTCAAAGATTTGTTTAAATGATATAAATGCGTATTTGCTGAATGCTGACGGTAAATGAGAAAGTATTATAATGTTTGCCTTTCTATTACTAATAATATAAAAGCAATCGTTATACTACTTTTTTGTATTCATTTTAATTCCTTTGTTTAACAGTTCTATCGGATTGTTAGATGCAGGGCTCGACAATAAGGACTGCCCGATGGCCCGGGGCCAGCGTGAAATACGTTCGGGACAGTAGACGGATTTGTCACTTAACCCGATCGGGCCACTGCAGTGTCGTCACGACTTATCATTTGCATGTGTTTTTATGACTTGTTAATTAAAAAATTAAAGCGATTAAAAAGCATTTGGGCGCGAAAGACCACTACATTCAGTACGCGCGTGCTGTAATAATACATAATACCCGCCCTGGCAAGTAACTTTGTAGCTTTAACAATGATTAATCTATATTGAATTTATACACTGGAGTATGTTACAGATGCAGTGATCTACCGGACATTTTTTGTTTTATTTCAGACTATCTTCTGTTCCGTGCTTGCACACAAACTGCACTGCAATCATTTTCCCAATGGCCATTTGTGTGGAAATATTACGTTATTATTATATACTTAGTCTGTAAACGGGCGTTAACAGAGGCCAGAGATGCTGAAGACGGACACAAAGAGGAGAAAATACTGTAGGCAGAACAAGATCACTGTTCATGATGCGCGAAATATAGGAAGAAAATCCAAATATTTAATTTTATATGAATGTGTTTGTGAGGGGAACGGAACTGACTGTTTTCAGAAATGTCGTTTTCTTTTCATTTTGTCTCTGTATGATGCATTTAAATTAGTGTTAATGGTTAATACGCGCAGCGCTGCTGTGTTTACAGCTGTAACCA